AGCTGTTAGGGCTTGATCCCCCCAAAATCAGCAGGAATCTTTGAACCAGCTGCAGAAGCCAGGAGGTAGTTCCCCATCCTCCACCATCAGATGATACCCATTGTAAAATGTGGTTTTCGGTTATCATGGCCTGCCTACAGACAAAGTGCTGGGCAGAGATCTTTATTTTGATGACATTTTCCCAATAGCTTTTCCTTAATGGGATATGTCTTAAGATGTACTGTGGTTGAACAATTGAAAACAGTTAAAGCTACAGTTCTTTATTCCATATTACATTTTCTTGGCCAAAATCTAAGATATTAGCCCTTAAATACCACATATGAAAAACACAATCCAAATACTTATATGTCCAACACGTTCACTACATTCTTCAAGAATGTTCAGTTACTCTTTGAGGGGGATTGCATTGTTTTTTGGGGGGTTTTCTGCACTGTTTGCTTTTACTGGTGGCCTACTCTTGATACAGTATTATTATCATCCAGAGTCAATTGCTCGATTTTTCTTGCAGAGTTTTCACTTGGTTTCATTACTTTAGCCTGTTGCAGTTATCTGTCTGACTGTGGCAACAAGGTCCTTCCAAGCCACGTGGTTACCTGGCAGTATTTCTCCAGTGCATCTGGGATTCTGCATGTCCAGGACACTTCAGTGGGCTGGGAGTGGTCCATAACACAGCTGAGAACAGAAGATGAGTGGGAAGCAGAACATAGAGCATGCTTACAGGCAAGAAACATGCCTCTTAGACTGTGTAGGTATAAACCCCCTAAGTTGTTCTCAGATTAAGCAGCAAACTCATTGCCCCTTGCCTGTCTGCCTGCCTTCTGCTAGTTATAATTAAAAAATGTGTTTTCTTTCTAAATATATGGCCACTCAAGATGACCTGGATCAGTATGATTGCAGCTTCTCTCGACAATAATTAAATACCTTTGGGGATGTGAATCATGTCCAACTCAGGAAGCAGTAACAATGCCAGGACTTCACATTCTGCTGTTTGCAAATCCCTGTTCTAAAATCATCTCCTGCTGAGCACTGTGTCTCCTGAGCAATGTATCCACTGCTGACAAGCCATTCCACTGATGTGGCCCAGTTAAGTACAGATTAACACCCAATGACGATATGTAAACCTATACTCCGCTGCACATGGTGTGAATTCAGGGTATTAAACTAAAGATATTTTCAAACATTATAATATCCCATATGCCTGGGTCAGCACAACAGGCACAGTCACCAGGAAAGTTGTGTCAGAGAAGATAAGAATTACTGGTCTGGGAAGGGTACTGTGTGCTTTCAGGTGGACAGCTCCTTGGTCTTCTTTTCAACCATTGTCTCCTTCCAAGGGAAGAACCATGTAATTGATGACATTGTCTTCTTTGCATACGCTCTGTTCTCTAAGTTGATGTCTTTCACTTTCTGCTACTACTGGACACCTTGCAGTTGCAAGAGATAATGCTCACATCTGTCTCTGAGCTCTTCAGGTGTTTCTGTGATGTTTTACTGCGGTATTTTAGACTTCTTTCTGGTCAACCCCCGTGCTAAAGCACCAGAACACCCTGTAAGCTTCTAAGCTGTCAGGGGTTAATTCAGGGTCTCCTTGTGGTCTCTTCTGAGGCTTTTTTGTTTGTTCTAATCCTTTGGCCCTTTATCTGGGACTTGACACGTTGGTTTCCAGATTGTATACTTCTCAATAGTTTCACTTTCCTTTGTGACTCCAGGTTAGATCTACTCTCTCAAACCATTTATTGTACATAAGAATATAAGAGCAGCTGTTCCAGGTCTTAGCAAGGATCCATATAGCTCCACATCTTTTCTCAACAATGGCAAGTAGTGGATACCTACAAGAAACAGGGTGAGTACAGAGTGGGGTTCCTTCCCGTTTTATATCTTCCAGTTTCTGGCAACCAGCAGATCAAGTTTATGAGACAAGGACACACTCAGTCCCTGAAGCTGGTGTTTTTATGTTAATGTTTATGGTGACTCCAAGATCTCTTTCTTGAGTGACAACTGCTTACATTTATTAGGACTGTATTTTTCCTATATGCACTCTCTTGTATTTTACCAGCATTGTATTTTCTGTGCCATTTTACTACCCAGTCAGTTGATAATGTGAGATCCTTGTGCTACTTTCTCAGGCAGCTTTTGTTTTGGACTATTGAAACAACTTTTTATCATCAGTCACTTTGGCTATCCACCAGCTTCTCCAGATGATTTGTGAATGTGTTGGACAGTGCTGGACCTGGCATGGACTCTTGGGCCTGCCTTCCTCTTGTGACTTCCTTAAATTGTGAAAAATTATCAATAGCTCCCACCTTTGCTTTTCATGTTCAAACCACTTACTAATTCACAAAAGGACCTTCCTTCAAGGTAAGGGTTTTTAATGAGCTTTTTGAGGTTTGGTTACTACTGTGAAAAGGTTTCTGAAAAATGCCTTCATACAAATTCTGAGGTAAATTGGAATGTGGAGAGGGGTGGAAAGAAAGGAGATTTTTTAGTCTCTGAGACCAGAAAGTTTTTAGTTCTCCTTATGTCTAAACTGCCCCTTAACCCGAGAAAATTGCGTAGTCTTCCAGAGCGCTACTTGTGAAAAAGCAGCATATTTCCACTGAAATCCATCTGGCAACACTGATAACACGGGCTGAATGTTCAGCTTATTAGTAGAATTACTAAGTTTTGTCTCATTTACCCATGTCTTTGAACCTGGTTCTGTAAGCAAAAATACTTTTGTCTCTTCCTTGTAGACAACTGTACTTGGTTCAGGAAAAGTCAAACCCACCAGGAGGGAATGCAGTAGTCCAACTCTAGTTAGACCTGGGTAGGGTAATGCAAATTTACACTGAAGTCCATGAAGGCACATACTGATAACAGGAACAGCTTATGCTGTCAGTGAACTAATGTAGCTTAGTCATTGATTTCAATAGGAAAAGGAACACCATTTGTCGTACAAGATTCACTTGACCTATCTTTTTGTAAACAAAGATAGAAGACATTTCAGGAAATTTCAAAATGTCTTTTTTAATTTGATTATTATTCCACCTGCTTTGATGGTTGCTTTATTTGTCATCTGTCAGAAAATGAAACTCATTTTATACTCTTTTAATATCTGAATGGAGCTATAATGCATGTACATGGACTTGTCTTTAGGAGTGGTGCCAACACTGAGTAATTTAAATATATAATATAGTTGATAATATCTGAAAAAATATTCTAGAATAAGTCACTATAGAAATGAAGGTAGGTTTCCTGTGCGGCTTACAATATCATACTAAAATACAAAAGAAACCTGACTGGGTTTCAGTTATGAAATAATAGATACTGAGCCATTTTCAGGTTTGCTTCATATTGCCAAAGTGTTTAAACAGGTGTGTTTCACAAAGTTTGTGAAACAAAAGCTCAGCTCAAAGCAAATCAACATTAGGAAGCAAAACCAGTGCTGAGTGATAGTGCTTAAAAACTGAGAAACAAGACTGGTTTAAACAGCAACTGAAAAGATGCTTTCATGGTTTTTTAACATGTTTTTACAATTTTCTGCAGTTACATACAAGACACTGCATCTTATATTAGTATTAGTATTAGTTCTGTAGTTTGGGTTATATACATCAAACTTTGGGTTATATACATACAACTTTTTTCCTTATAATATGAGCATGTTAGCAGTTTTTGAAGATTAAGAAAACATGCTTATGAACCTAACTTCTAAACCCCATTATTTATTTTATTCAGAACATTACCTTATGTATACAAATGGGGGGAAATGGCAATGAATCTAAAGTCCTCAGTAACTTTACTTGACCAGCAATTATCCTTACAGCTATTAAGAAGAGGCAAACCCCTCTGCAGCAATGCAAGGGTAGGCCAAATATTGTTTGCTGAATTCAAGTGATATCTGTAACCAATATCCTAACTCCACCACAGCTAAGAAAGTACCTCTCACACTGGGAGCTGAATGCCTTCCATCGCCGTGCAGAACCATAGTCAGTCTCCCTTTGAAACACAACCAGGCTCGGCAGTATCACAGGCAGAAGTATTTGGGTCAAAGACTGCTAGCAGAGGCACAAGTGGGCAACGGGACCTGAGGAGAAATTAAGAAAATCTTAAGAATTCTGTGTGATTTTACTTAAGTCTCTAAACCCTTTAATTCCTCTGAATTCAACTTCAGGCAAATCCCTTCACACTTTTAAGCGTACAGAAGCCTTTTGACCGGAGGGCTTGCATTTCGTAGCTCTCTGACATAAATTAGGAAGATAAGACATGAACAATGGAGAGTTATTAACATGAATAATTTTCTATGCAAATTGGAAGCACCGCAGAACAATGGAATGGCTGTGGCTTAATGGCACCAGGTTTTCTAAAGGGCTGAACATAAAATATGACAGTAGAAAAATCAATAGCAAAGTCAAAAGCTACTAGAGCAAAACTGCTTTCAAAAAATAGATCAAGCAGGTGAACCACAAGATCCCTTTTCCTGGAAGGGTTTCCAGAGATTTAGTGCCCAGAAAACATGATCGAAAAGCCAAAGCTAAAGAACAATAGCAGATTTTCTAAACTTGAAGAAGTTCACAAACACAGTGCATGAATCTAAACATCTTCACCAAATTCACCTTCATTCCATACGGTGGGGTCATTGGGACTACGACAAATGCATTTGCAAAAGGCTAGCATCTATATTAACCAAATATGTTGGCCCCTTCAATAAAGAAAACAGAGAAGCAATGTAAAGAGCTGAGCAAGCTAACTTTTCTCTATGTCTCTTTGTGTGTTGTCTTTTTCCGCAGAAAGAATGTAAGAAGGAGGAGGGCTAGTGAAAGATGTAGGTATTGGGATACACATTCCCTGCAGTGGGTAGTTACTGCTCTGACTTTGCCAAGACTATCTCTCTGTTATGTGTGTTGTTACAACTCACAACTGAGCAGCAGAGCTGGTGCTAGTCCTGATGGCAATAGGTTATACTGTTTTTTAAGTATATATGTGTATATATATATATATATATACACACATAGGTTATAACAATCCCAAGAAGCTCAAGGGAAATAAATTTCACACAGCAGGTAGCTAGCAGCTGTTCCACTGGATCTTCCGTCCTTTCCTTGCTGGAGCCTCCTTCACAGAAACCCATGGGAGCGATCCCACAGGATTGTTTCCATTTGACATTTTGGTGGACAGTCTATGTAGCAGCAGGATGCTGTCTGAAACAAGCAGACCTCCTTTGATTTATTCACTCCAACAGTAGGGATTATTTTAGAACACAAGTGACAGGAAATAATGTTTTCTGCAGTTCATCAGGAAACAGAACAAGGCAAAGCTCTGACTTTTGAGGAACAGGAGCTATGACATCCTGTCTGTGCTGCACATTTAGAGCTTCTCTGATGGTGAAAAGTATTCAAAATAGAATGTTCATTAAAAGGGTTGGTTTTACTGAATCAAATCAAACTACTATATGTCTCTGTGTTTGGGAAAGCTCAGTGTAGTTTATGTTCTATTGGAAACCAAAAAGTGACTGTCAGCTAGCTGCAGTCTGTCAAGTGCAACATTCACTGAAATCGACAGATCTGTATCCCTTGCCCCTAAATCTGAAAGTTTTTCAACAAGTTGCTGACACAGAAGAGGTCATTCACCCATTTCTAGTACTAGGGAAGGATGGAGGGAGGAAGGGAAGGAAGGATCCCCTTAGAACAAGACTGCTGTATGTCTGCGTTTGCAAAGTCTACAGTCTACAGGCTGCTGCCTCTCAGCCTTTCTGTGGTTACACAGAGGATTTCGGTCTCTGTGCACCTTCTGGCGTACTTGGCAGTCTGGCACCTTCAATGCATACTTGATTCTCTACTGAAAACACTAATGCTAAATCTTAAAATTGAGAAGCTGTTTTCCTCTGCCCACGTGAAACGAGAAAGAAAGTGTAAATTTGTTTTCTTTGTGTCGCAGCGATGAATCATTACTCAATACAACAGCCAAAACACAGGTTTTCTGCATACATGGAAGCAAGATTACCCTGTTTCTGCCATGCATATTTATTCAACTCCCCTTTTATCCTTCCCCTTAATCTCTGTCCCTCGCTTAACTCACCATTTCTCCCAGTCCCCTTCTTGCTTGCACATCACAGCTCCAAGCCTTACTATCTTCCACTCTCTAGAGATCACATGTCAGAAGAAAAAAACATGAAGAGTTGATGGTTCAAACACTAGTTACAGGTGAATGCTTGCTTTCCTTTTTCTGAAAGTCTGCCTTTTACCTTCACTTCTGCCCTCCAAGAGTCTGCGCTTCAGCCACTGAGAATGAAAGCAGCCATGGAGAAGAGCTTGATTTTGGACCTTTTTTTCCCAGAGAAGTGCCCATATTTTTCTGGATAAACTGTTTCCAGTATAAAAATTAAGTTGATCTTTCAAGTAAAGAAAAATATCTTCTTTCCAAACCAGCTTATGGGAAACAGTGGGATGAAGAAAAATGAAAATGAGTATTGTTAAATCTTTAATGTTTTTACCACCAAATTAATAATTTTCAATGAAAATAATATATTATTTAAAATTAATCCATATTTTCTAAGGGGAAAACCAGATCTTAAATCTTCCTTCCAAACTGCCTGTTTAACTGGAAGCTTTGGAGTTTGAGAATAATTCACAGGTACACATATCACATGCAGTTCAGTAAGATATGGACATAGAAGACTCCATCATGCAAAAAAAGAAGGCTGACAAAGGATGTGTTTAGAGATCTATTAGACTAGGTACCATAGGAAAAGTGAATGAGCTGTCCCTAGTCTCTTTTCCAAAGACAGAGCTAAGGGGCATTAGAGAAAACTTGCACAGGGCAGGCTGGAACAAAGGAAGTGGTCCTTTATACATTGAGCTAAACTCTGGAAATCCTTGCAGCTCAAGTGTGTATGTAAAAAGATGCTGCATGGGCTAATAAGCAACTGGAAAAATCCATAAAAGATATCACTAAACAGGAAATCCTTTAGCAATTGACATCCATGAGCTACACATTATTAAAGGCCAGAAGAAGATTCTGGAAAAGTTACACTATATTCTTACCTTACCTTCTGATTCCCCCCTAGGCATCTGCTCTCAGCTACCACTGGAAAAGGGCTAAAAGGACATGTCAGCTGATCAGTCAGACCAGACATAACTGTCCCTTTGTTCTTCAACTTTGACTCAAAATAAGGACCTTTTATATACAGCAGTATCTACTGTTCATTGAGCTCACTGAAGGTATTGTTCAGCTCCATGAATTAATGCCTCAAGGACAGTTCTACTCCGTAAAATGTTTCCAGTAATGCAGTTTCACATTTGTCATCTTCAGTGTTTCCCATCATAAATATACTTATTTTCATGTACATGATAGCATAAATCCAACCAAATCTCTAAAGCTTGTGATGGCTTCTTTCCTTTCTGAAATTTTTCTCCAGAATATCACGTCCCTTCATATTTTCTATGCAAATTCACCACTTTCAGAGTGACTGGAATATAATGTGAAACAAAGGGAGTGCTCCTATATACACTGGGTCAAGGCATGGAAATCCTTGCTGCAAAAGACAACTTCTTCACAAAGAACTGAATCAAATCTCACCTCCTTTAGCTGGTCACACCTACTAGCTGCACAGAGACAAAATCCGGGGAAACCCCCTTTTTCAATGCAAATGATGATGTCAGTTGTTCCTACAGGAGGTGGAATTCTTCCATGGTGATTTCAGAACAGTCACATTTAAACTGGCTTTTGGCTCTTCTTGTCTTTAGACACAGATCTCTTTTTAGTGAGCCTTCAGTGACCATACTGTGATGTTAGTTTGGTGGCTGACCAGAGAGAAAGTCGCTATTTCAGCAAAAACGCAAGAGAAATGGTGACAGTTGTGTGGGCAGCAGCAAAGTCAGAAGCACTACACTACTTGGAAAGGAAAGACAGGCCTTGAAGTTAATTCTAGATAAAGAAACAGAAGAAAACTATCCAGTTTCTGAAACCAAGTACCCACCTTAGCTGCATCCAAACATCAGCTTGACTGGATTTTGACCTTGAAACACTACTGCACTCACTGATCCTTTTACAGTGAAGTCCAGATGCACAAACTTGTAAGGAGCTAACGCACAGTCTAGCAGGTAATTTAAACTTACAGGTGCAAGTCTCTTCCTAGGGCCTGAAATCTACTACTTCTATTATAAATTTTACTTAGCAGTTGAATAAACATCCAGAATGCCGTTTAGCTGTCAGCCTGCTTACATGCTTTGCATGCTTTTTGTGCACTTGTGACATTCAAGCTACTGTTTCATCATTTTGTAGCTCCCTGATGCAAAAGTAACTCTGATAATAAAGTAGTTCTGCCTTGCCTTGAGCAGGGTGTGACACTGTGTGTGGCACAGAGGTGAGAAAACTGAGCTGATCCAGCACCTACACAAGTACATGGCATTACTAGGTTGTGCAATGAAACTCTCAGTCTCAAATATTATTACTTATGCATTTTTTTCCATCACAGTCAATATTCTGAGTAGTTTCAATTGCCACCTATGGGTAGAATTTTCAAAACCGCAGTGTATCAGCCTAACTCTACTTTCAATAAAATCAACAATATTTTTATACACTTTGTTTTTGGGTGATGGTTGCACACTATAAAGCATTTCATCTTATATTTTGAAAGCCAAAAAAGAACCTCCAAACAGAAAACCCATGGCTGAAGGCATTCTGGCTAAATTAAATCTTTCTTTTAAATTCTGGCTCTGATTCCCCAGAATATTTTGAACATTGGGAAAGATATCTGACCATGAACATTTCAGACAAACATGGACAAAAACCTGGGTCATAAATATGAATTGGTCAACCACTGAAAGGGATAGCATCTGCAAAATCACATAAGCATTAACTCTCTACGTACCAGTGTAAGTAAATTATAGGTTCTCTTATCTCTAGAGCTCATAGAAGTTTTCTAAAAAAGTGTCAGCTCTTTCTGTGCCATACTTTAAGGGCTTACACAAAATTGCTTTTGACCTGCCAGTTCTGAAATCTCATTCACTGACAACTTCTGGCACTTTATCCTTAAGCTGAAGTCATCTTTTTAAACTAAAATGGTTGTACATTCTCCAGCATCAAACGTGGTCCTCTAGACTTTCACGTTTCATCATAGGGAGGGTGGTTAAGCACTCGAACAGGTGCCCAGAGAGATTGTGTGCAACAAAACCCCAACTGGGCAAGGCCTGAGCAAGCTGATCTGTCTGTAATGTACTCCCTGTTTTGAGCAGGTGCTTGGACTAAGTGACCTCCAGAGATCCCTTCCAACTTCAGCTAAGTCTTGGACTCAATGATTCCGCTTCTTTTCCCCTTGTATCACCTATTGCTAAGGGAGATCTCACATAAAAAAGCCGCTATTGTAGCTCTGCCCTACTAGCCCTGGCCTTTCACAAGTTTTTTCCTTGGACCTTCCCTCTGTCTTCCTAATGAATACCCTGTTTCTGTATTTTCTCATGCTGTCTAGCCATCAGCTTTAAAAGTAACACAGATAGAACTTCAAGCCTTTCTCCCAAAAAACTTCTCCACATTCTCAGTCCTCATGACAAGACAAACATCCTCAGCTCAGTCTCACTGTTATGTACCATCTTTTACTTAACCAGCTCTGTAAACCTCTATATTCTAGCTGTATCTAAACATTGCAGTTTCTTTGTACATCAAATCTCTTACATTCATCCCTCTCTTTCAGTAATCAGGGACCTAAGATAGGGATCTGAATTTTATGTTAGTATTATATCTACATCTATACACCATTTTGTGTGGGTTTGCATTTTTCCTGCAGTTTTTGGTGACTCACAATGTTCTACAGTTTCACAGATTTTTTTTGCCTTTTTTTTCCCCTTTTGTTAAAAGTCTTAAACTCCTCAGATAATAATAATAAAAAAGATAATTTATGTAAGCTAAAATTAATATTAATTCCATGGTCTTAGCTCTCCTTCCAGTTCTCTTGTCACCTCTTTACCACTGGATTACAGGAAGGGTGGCAGCAAAGATACTGGATTTAAGATTCATAAAACTTGGTGTTGTTTTCTACATTTCAGTAGGTCTAGAGTGCAGAGTTTCATATGATTTAGACAACATACTTCAGTTGGAATACATGAAGACTCTGAGACATCTCATTTACATTTTGAAAGTAGAGTTCTTTATTTAAAGCTGCCTTTTGTATCTATTTACCTATTGAAGTCTAAAGGATAAAAATATCTAAAAGCGAAAGACTGCACCTCAGAAAAATGGGCATAACACTGTTTCCTCCCTCCTACTGTTCTTCATCTAATTATGAGGATCTTAACAACTTCCCATATTTTATTATATCTTTCCAAAGCAAAACTGGACATTCACTCTTTTGAATAAATTGAGGGCTTTAAGCAGAAATTTAAAAAACCCCACCAACAACAAGTTGTACTGCTTCAGCCTTTTAAGAAATATATCTTCCCTTATGCTGCAGCCTTTCAAAAGAGATTCCCACTTTCTAAGAGAACCAATGAGAGTAACTTCTGTCATTTCTTCTTGGTCCTGCAAGTTAGGCTAGGAAATGCAGCTGAAACTAAAATCTTCCATACAGTTTCTGTTTTCTGTGAGTATTTTTGAATATCAAGTGACACATGTGGGTGGGGGAACTTCAAGATTAGTTTTAATCAAATCTCAGCTTTTGCTGGAACTTCCCAAAGCATTTCTCACCCTTTGCTCCTGATTGAAACATTTTGCTGGGTTTGGGTGCATTCCAATTAGAACTTAAAATATTTGATTTTGGTTTGTTGTCTTGCAGTGTTCCAAGTACTCTTGAGTTTCATTTCATCATTCAGATCTATCCCTTCAGTCTTCTACCCTGAAGTTAGCTCTAAAATGTTAACTTTGTATCTGAGATACAGATCACATTCAAACAAATCTTCTGGTGATTTCCAAAAGACTTCCAGCCTGAATAGGGAAATAAAAAAAATATCTTCTACCACAGGCAATGAAGACGGAATTAACAGGATTGAAGCAAACCGAACCTATACTGACAGCAGCTTCTTGATACCATTTTAGAAAGAAAAGATGAAAGGTAGCTTCGCTATGTTTCTGTGTAGAAAGATCAGTCATTCCAGTAATGATCAGCAGAAGAACTTTCTAATGTTAGAGCATGGGTTCATAAAGTGAGA